ATTTTTTGAACAGAACTGAAATGCAGCTTTTTAAAGTTGAGCTACTGACCAGGTACTCCACACTTATTGATTGTTTGGGATTACAAAGAAAGTAGGTGATAGCAGACTGATAAATATCTAATTTTATGCTACACTGTATTTTTGCTTTTTCCTGTAGACTGCTGACACAGTATGCTATATTATTTTCTTATAGCATGTCATGTTAACACTATCATGGTTAAAGTTGCTTTTGTTGATTCAGAGCATAAGTACACTGAACTCATGGTTGCATGCAAAACACTAGTATAATCTGCAGTGATTTCCACTACACTGAAATTTCATGTTGTAGACATAGGGATTTAATGCGAAATTCCAAACGACTTCCAAATACAGGTGATTGAATATAATGTAGATGTCCCATGCTATCTGGTTGGTTGGGGTTTTTTTTGTAAAGCACCATAGCTCACAGAAGAATCCTGCTGTATCCAAAGGGTGGGGCAAAGGAAGGGTGGAAAGGTAGTTCCAGAAGCAATGAGAAAGAGATGGTGTCCTTGGAACCTGAAATACCATCAAGTTGCTGTACTTCTTAGTACTTCTTCCAATTTGGATCAAATGAAAAGTTGAAAGGGAAATCAGCAAGAGCAGTTTCCTGTCTGTTATGTAAGACTAGGCCTAAGTTTGCATTATGACAATACTTTGTATTCTAATAAAAGTTTAGAGGAAAATATTAAGATATTTGTATCAGGACTATTGGTGCAGATCCTTTCTGGTTTTGGTTAATTCACGGGATTTTTCAAATCTTCTAGCAAAGGACATTCTACATGTTCACTGGATTGTAGTCGGATATTCTTGCAGTTATGGCAGAAACGTTTTATTTTTAGTTAGAGGTCTGTCAGAAATTCTGCGAGTGATCTTGTTCTATTCATCTCCTCTGTGTTCCAACTTCTGTTTTATAAATATTTTTTCCCACTTATTATCTGTGTCATTTTTCACCGCAGTTCTGCATGTGACTCCACTAATCCAAATTAGAGCTCCAGAATCGGGTTTAAATGAAAGACAATAATGTATCAGAAAATTTTCCAACACCATCTTGAGAGTAAAAATCAATTTTAAAATACAAAGTTGTATGTAATTAACTTGTATCTTAATTAGAATCATAAAATAACTCAGTCTGTAAGGGACCTCTGCATGCCCTCAATTGTCCAAACTTCTATTCAAATGGCCTCTAACTTCAATGTCCCACAAAGCTGCTGCACAGTGTTCTATGCAGTCATATTTCAAAAGTCATCCCTAGGTACTTGACCAGTGGAAAAAATTAGTCTCTTACATCCAGCTGGAATTGTCTTTGTTGCCATGGAAATGCTAGCTGCCTGTTGTCATTTTACTGTGTATATTTGTAAAAATCTGGCTTCATCTTCTTCATATGCCCCCATGTGGAAGACAGCAATTAGATTCTCCTCCTGCTCCCCTTCACCCAACTTTTCTCCAGGCTACACAAAACCACGTCTCTCAGCCTATTCCTTGTATATTATATGTTCCAGCCCATACCATCTTAGGGGATCTTCTCTGGACTCTTCAGTTTTATGACCTCCCTTTTACTGGGGAATCTAAAGTGGAACACAGTGCTGCCTCCTAAGTCTTGAGTACAAGGGATATAATTTCTTCTCTCAATCTACTCTTGTTAATGAAGCCCAACATGTAGTATGGCCAGTCTTCGCGAACGAAGATTTTGGGAAAGGTCTTTTACCTTTCCAGCCTGCGCAATGGATTTTTTAGGTGAGACACAGCATGCGCTGAACTGAGCCCATCCTTTAATCCTAAGGTTCATCTGCCAGGGCCAAGCGAGCTTGGACAATGGCAGTGAGGTCCTCAGGACGTAGGTTTGTTTAGAGTGACCTTCTCTTAGATGGATGGCCTTACAGGGCTGACGAGCTCCATCTGCCCAGGGGAGTGTCCCTGACCGGGAATCGAACCTGTGCTGCGGCGGTGAGAGTGCCGCATGCTAACCACTAGACCACCAGGGGTCCCCAGCCCAACATGTATTGCAGTCATGTTCCTCTCATTATCCAGGAAAAGCCCAAATTTTCTGCAGAGCTGGTACCTAACTAGTCAGAAACTGTACCTCCTCTAGGGGTTTATTCTACCCAAGGTACTGGACTTTGCTTTTGTCTTTGCTGAACTCAGTGATACCTGCCAACTCCTCAAGCTTGGTAAGGTTCCTTTCTAGCAGCAAGCCAAGTGCAGTTTGTTCTTTGCTATACTTTTGTAAATACCAAACTCCTTGTAAACCAGCAATTATCTTTTTGCTTTGGGATGGAAATAGGAAGAGTAACATAAATTTACTCAGAATACATTTATTCAGAATAACTTGCTCCACTGACTCATCTCTTTCAAGATATCTTTAAGATAACTGAAGGTGAAAGCCCTAAACATAAGCTGATGGGTCTGCTTTAGATGCCTAAGTTTTAACATGCTGAGGAATTTATGTAAATTCAGTAAATGACAGTGGTTTTTTTCTTGTTCCACAATTTCCTGGCTGCATGTCCAGAAAAAAACAAATTCTTAAGAGGAGCAAGAATAGAGATACTAGAGTCTATGGATTCTGCACATGAGCAAGTTCTACATATGATACATGCTGAAGAGTCATTTCAGCTGAATAGAAACTAGATAACACAACATCTTGTTGGAAGCCTTACGTTGCTTAACTTTCTATATGCTCCCCATAGCTTTACAGAAAGGAGTCTGATGAAAGTATTTCAGGCAGTGATAGGTCTGGTAGAAAGATGCAGTGCTTTTATTTTACATAGCAGTAAATCATTGTGAGAGAGCTTTAAAAATGTGGGACTAAAAACCTGCTAAGGTAACCATCTCCACAATTAAAATCAGATGGCTAAAAGAAGTCTACTAATTTAGACCAATTAGTGGCAGGATAGTCCACCTGAGTGAGAACAGCTCAGAAAGATGCAACAATCTGCTAGGTAAGAAGGAGACAACAGACCACTGGTAAAATGGAAAACACTGGGCAAGCTAACAAATATATTATGCTGTGTTTATGTGAGTGTGCATATAAAAAAAAAGATGAAGTTATTAAAAAAATGCACAGAAATATGTAAAACCAAAATACTAAAATTACTGTAATTGTAATGACTATGTTGTAATCCTGTAAGTTGACATAACAAAATGACAATACCAAAACTTAACATGCATAATATGAACTTGTTTTTTATTGCCAGAGGGATACTTAAAAGCACAATATGCAGCTACATAAACACAGAAAACCAGCACAATGGAAATTTAAATGCATCCAAACATCACTCAAACCAGATTATCTCAGAATAGCAAACTCATTCTGAATACATCAGAAATCCTTTCTCCCCTATCCTAACTAGTGATACTCAGTTCCTAAAATGTTTGCAAACCCCTTCCAAGTTTAGAAAAAAGCTAGTAGGAACATAGGATGATAGTGTTGAAAATTAATGTCCTAATGAGTTCACAAATTATATATAAACATCAAGAGACTAACTGGCAACATGTGATGCCAGCTTAAAAGGCACCACCAAAAGTAAATTAATGCACAAGAAGTGACAAGACTTATTAGATGTCTCTGACATATCTGTGCTGCTGAGCATGCTACAAGACAGCTATTTTTAAATGAGACATGTGATGTACTGGAAACATTCTAGCCACTGAAGCATGAAGCTGTATGTAGTCAGTTCACCACACTGCGAGGCTGCAGTACTATAGTTATGTGTATCTTCCAAAATACTTGAGAAAAATTCAAATGGTGAGTGAAGTCTTGTAGATTTTCTAAGTGTTTGACTACAATTTTTTTCCCGAACTCACCTAACTATTCACTTTTGAATGAAGCTCAAAGTTCTGTGACAGCATTGCAATATCACTGTTTTAGTTAATGCATTTGTACCTTTTAATTTTGTCTGTTCAATTCTGTTGCTGAGGAAGACTTAATTTTAATGCATGATCTGTACTAAAATGCACCAAAGATGCATTTCATTCACAATCACTCACTGGACAATCATCTGCAAAAGGAATTGATTAATTTAGGTTTTTTACAAGTGTTTAAGTCAGGAAGTTAGAGCAACAACACAAAATCTTAAACTATCTTTTAATTCAATAGCATCATGAGTCAATACTGAGGTAGGTAATAAATGTTAACAAAAAAAAATAAGAGCACTCATGGTAGCATTGTAGGACATGAAATCGATGATAACATAGCAACTATACACAAAATCTTGACAAGTCTTGTTAGTCTAACCATTCTGCACAGGAAGGAGATTTTAATTTTTTAAACTTGTATGTCAGCTTACTTCTTGATGGTCATTTTGATAAAATCTGTTATATTACATGAGTTGCTGAAATTATTTTCCCATTGACAGCAGATGCTACAGCTATAAAGGAAGCAATAGGAACAAACTTGCTGACTTTATGTTAATGACACTTTTAGATTATCTAGGAATATAAGAGAAGCATGAGAAATATAGGACAACAACATGCAACGGCAAGGCATGTAGGAAATTTAGGTTGGTATTTTACAATTAACATTTTTGGCAATAGAATCTGTAGCCAAAATCGATGACTAGCTTAAGTAGCATTGGGACTTCATATGTAATTAAGAAAGCTTCTGAATACTTTGTTTGACCATGATAACTATTCTTTAACTTAGACTTACACCTGAAACAATGTGATATTTATAGAAAGGTAAGCATGCAAACTGTCTGCTTTGAAATTTGGTAGCAGGGGAAAATTGAACTTTTACTTGCAAAAAAATAGTACAGAAATAACTAGAAAAGTCACAGAAAACATAGGAAGGTCTCACAGTTAACATCCTCTCAAAAGATGCATCTTACTATAGTGTTTAGTCAGTAGTATTAGTTATACTAGTAACTATTAATAAAGTAGCTATGTTCACTGTGGCCTTTGATATCAGTGATAAAGCAATAAACTACAATATGGATGACAGATTGAAGTTTACAAAGCAGTAATACCAGCAATTTGTTTTGCAGCTCCAGAGGCAATTAAAAACAGCACAGCTTCCCAGGAGACACAATCTAGTTTTCTTCCCTGATGCTACTGTGAGCACAAGACATTTCAAAGGAACACATGCAAACAAGAAGGAAATAAAACTATCTTCTCAAAACATTTGTGTATGCAGTCAATTTGTAAATGGGGTGCGTGCATACCTCTGAATTTAATCAAGTCATATCCTCATAGGACAGCAATATAAAAGCTTAAGTGCAGAATATAGTACTGCTTTGTGTTCCCTGAGTTTTACTTTGAACCCTACTTCAAAACCACTTTAGACTGAACTAATTTTGTACTTACAAAATACATTCCAGACTGATAGAATTAATGGAGTCTGATATTTTACAGAAGCCAGAGTAGTCTAAAACAAGAGCATTTTACTTTAGATGAGCATATAGTCAGAAGAGAATTACAAATTCTGTTCTCCTTTAATATTGGCATTCATAAGCCTGAGGCTGTGAACATATCAAGAGGACCTTATCTAAAAAATCAAAGACCCTGAGAGGAAGACAACAATCCTTTTCCCCTATTTTTTTTCATTCCATGCTTCCAGTCAGAAGTTGTCAATGCACATATTTTTTACCTTGCACAAACTCTTGTCTTCTCTGGATTCCTCTGCGAGCTATGTCAACTTGCCAGAGAACACATCTATCAGGAAAAAGAAGACTCTCTTCTCTGCTAGATTAATGAACTGAACTGACTCACAGAATTGTCTCATGAGTGCCAGAGACATGGAAAAGGAGTGTGCAGGACTAGATGGCCAGGAGCCATGGCTGAGGGAGGGAGGGAGGACCTCTGCTATGGGAAGGGAACAAAGAAGAAAGATGCAGGAACAAAAGCTATCCCTTGCTCCAGCAGCAAGCCATTCATTTCACTCCATTTTTTCTTGAAAATAACCCGATTGTTAAAAACATGGGGGGAAAAAAAAAGCAATTTTATTTTTGTATTACCATTGCAGAAAGCTATAAAAAGTAGAACTAAAATTAGCAAATTTCATTTTAATTACAAAGAAAATCTCAGGGTAATGCATGGCAATCAGCTATTGAAGCAGCATGTGAAACGTAAGTGCTTGCTATTTCTCCCTTGACACTTCCAGTCACCTGTTTAAGTTCTCACACCACTTTCTACATTATATCTCTCTAATGTCAGGTGTTACATCACTACAGTAAACCAAACTGGAAAGCTGATCCAGTTGAATACCACCTGGGGTATTTTTTGGTATTATAATACATATATATATTTATTTTAGATTTCTTTCAGCACTCAGCCATACAAATGTCCATCTTAGTGTTTTTGATAGGGAAGCAGCAGATACATTTATTTCAGCAACACTACTACTCAACTTCAATTCACATATAGACAATTGCTATCTCATCTGAGTCAGAGAAACTTCAAAAGTAATAATATTCTGGTGCCATTTTTCAGTAAAAAGACAAGTAACTCAGATAATTCTAAACCAGAAACAACTACTCAGTATCCCCATGTGAAGCACCTGGGGTTCCCATGATGCTGCTGAGAGTTCTGTGATTTGCTATTTTTGAGTTTTTGTGAAATCATAGTTGCTATTAAAGAGAAGTTGCTCCACGTGTTGTCAATCCAACATGCAGAGGCAATACGTCCTACTGCATATTCACCTACTGGTGCAACATAATCTTTGTGAAAGGCAAGAAGGTCAAAATATTTATCCAAGTTCTACATCCACTTCAGTCAGACTACTGCCAAATATTTGTTTATGGGTGCTCATTTTGAAATAAACTGAATCCATGCATGCTTTCTAAAGCATGCTCTGAATAGCTGCAGGAAAATATGTTTTTTTAGATGCTGATGATCAAGTACAGAAGTAAAGTTACCACCTCAGCATGAAACCCACGATTTCTTATCCATCTCTTAGGATACATGTCTTAGGAATCAGCACCTTATTAAGAACTTCAGTGATATGTTGGAACTGGAATTAGGCACTGAAACTCCTTCATTTCACAAATTGCAACGTTACTCTGGACAGCTGACACTTTTTTGACCTTGTCTCCCTTGACTCAGTGTGTATTAGTTATATCTTTCTTACCCTAGTTGTTAAACCCAACCAAACAAAGACCTTACCTCCAAACTAACCAATGCTTTATGAGAGAGATCTAGGGATTTCAGGTGACTACATTGTTTCAGAGAATTACATAAATGAGTAATTTTCTCCTGCCAGAAAGGAGCAAGGATGACACATGACTTACTTCAGAGCAAAAGGGCAGACAGGGTGGGGGCATGACTAGGAACTAGCATATTTATAAGAAAGGCAGTTAATATCTTCTACACATCTTCTGCTTAATATGGTGAATACAAAATGCATGATGAAGCTGTTCTGCAGTATGTCAAGAATTCCGACAACATTTTTAGTGCTAAACAAAAATAGGAAACAGGTTAATTTCTTGTTGCTACAATAGAGGCTTTGTAGGTATTTTTTAATGGTAGAACTAGTAATATTACATATGAGGTAGCCATTGCAAAAAGATGCTAGAAGGAAGTATTAAATCTTTCAAATGCTACTTAATATCAAGCCAGCGCTTGTGCAAAACTCTGCATATCCACTTTCCAGGACAAAATAGCCTTTATGATTCCAACTTTTCCTTGTAAACAAGTATTTATAGCAGGTGCATATTAAGCAAATTAAAGCACTATCATCTAGTGTATAGGGAAAACACACATCAGCTACACAAACCTGGGCTTCCTCTTCCTTAGGAATGAACCTATGGTGCAATAAAACCTCATTTTCTAACTATATGAGGGTTTTGACCACAAAGAACATTTTAGATGTGTGTTATGAGCCATCCATATTCAACTTGTTTTTTAAAGGTAAATGTAAAGGTAATCTATGGGAGAGAAAATGGATTGTGCTTTCTCTGGGTTCTCTGGTAGTATTGGGCCTATCTCTGCTGAACTCTGTGACAGTATTTCTGTAAGAACAGGTTATAAAGAAAAGGTACTTAATACAGTGCAGGGGAAATCCAGGGTAAAATCTAGCCAGGATACAAGAAACAAAGTATGTATTTCTAAATTGGGAACTCCTACTCTCTCTCTGCATGTCCAACACTGCTTTATACCCCTCCCATAGTTTAACTCAACATGTACCATTTTATTTTGTGAAGACTTTGTAAGCCTTAATGAGCTTATTCTTCATATCTAGGATGCTATTCCCAAATATCTTGGGGTGTTGCATTATTATATCCTTTTTAAAAATTTCAGGTTTTTAAACATTGAATTATTAAAAAACACTTTGTATTTCATGTTACTCAAAGTTCAAGAAGCAAACCAAACATGTTTAAAAACTGAACTATGTCAATAGCACATCTAAATTAAGTCAGCTGTTAAAGCCAGCTGCATCCTGGGCTGCATCAAAAGCACTGTGTCCAGCAGGTTGAGGAAGGTGATTCTCCCCGAGTACACTGCTCTGGAGAGACCCCACCTGGAGGACTGCATCCAGCTCTGGGTTCCCCAGCACAGGAAGGACACTGACCTGTTACAGCGAGTCCAGAGAAGAGCCACAAAAATTATTAGAAGGGTGGAACACCTCTCCTCTGAAGAAAGGCTGAGAGAGTTGGGGTTGTGCAGCTGTAGAAGAGAAGGCTCCAGGGAGACCTTCTGTGGCCTTTCTGTACTTAAAGGGGGCTTATAAGAAAAATGGAGACAGACTTTTTAGCAGGGCCTGTTGCAATAGAAAAGGAGAAAGAGTTTTAAACTTAAAGAGTAGATTCAGACTACATATAAGCATGAGATTTTTTATGATGTGAGTGGTGAAACATTGGAACAGGTTGCCCAGAAAGGTGGTAGATGTTCCATCCCTGGGAACATTCAAGGCCAGATTGGATAGGGCTCAGAGCAACCTGGTCTAGTTGAAGACTTCCCTGCTAATTGCAGGGAGATTGGACTAGATGACCTTTAAAGGTCATCCTTTAATGGCCCAACCCATGATTCTATGATCCACAAACTACTAATAGAGGTAAAGGGTTACTAATGTCAGCTCAGCCAAAACAAATAATAACAGCTGTTAGCACTTTATTATTACCTGGAAACAGATGAAAAAGGGATTGGAAACAATGCAAATTCCTATGCAGGAATTCCAAGCCTTCTGGCTTACTTAAAGGAGAAAGACAAGGCAACCTGAGGGCTTTTTTTCCACAGACTAAAGTTAAGAAATTAACTTTAAATTCTGCTCCTCCCATATCGACCTTCCTTCCAGATATGTTCTCCTCTTGCTTTACTCTGCATTGACTCTAGTAGTAATTTAGTCAACTTTCATGGAATAACACAACAAAACCAGAAGTATGCAACAGCTTTTCACTGGGTTACCAAGTTGGATTAGTATACTGCATAAGCTGATAAACACCGAATATGGTGAAAAGTAAGAAGATATAGCACTGGAAATGGGGAAAAGAGAGAGAAGAGCAGTGAGGAAAGACAAAAATGAAGACAAGACACCCTCATACATCAACTACCTAATAATTAATCTTAACCATATTAAGAAATCACCTATTTAAGAGGCTGTCTCTCTTGCAGTACATAATATGCATACATCTGACCAAGTTACACATTCTGATTTTGTAGAGATTTACATCCTTTGAGCACACAGACAAGGTATTACCTAAAATGCAAGATGAGAAGAGACTTAACCAATCAGCAAATTATAGCTGTTCTGGTGTACAGTGTACACAGCAGTTAAAAATCGGTGTGTTCTTGTGATATGGATATTTGTGGTTTTTTTCCTCGTGACTCTGGACTAACAAAACAGTATCTGCATTTTCTTCTGCTTGAGAGCAGGGTTTACTGGATGCTTATGATTAAATATTCAGAGAGAACCACAGGGGCTTCACTCTCTTAGCCTGCTTGATTGCAGTGCATGTCTCACCACTCATGGATAACCGTAGTGAGATATTAACCATGCTATCGTACATTCTCAGTTTATTTGTTACAGAACCCACTGTCTCTCAGTTTCTCTCAGAATGCATTGACGCCAGGAAACTGGAGTATACAGATGGCCCCTGGCGTGAAAGGCTCTACCACATCTGTGATGTGCACCTGACCTGGTCGGGGTTGTTATTGGATTGCCCATCCCTTCCAAAAAGTACCTCT